TTTTCAACCCCAAATAAATGGATTATCAATTCCCAGAGCATATTTTACCTTAACGTACTCTTAAATTAAACGATTTTTAAAATAGGCAATGGGCCGGCCAGGTGACTGAGCGATTAGCGCGCCTGACTGCGAAGCCAATGGTCGCGGGTTCGAATCCCGCTCTGGGCATGGATGTTTCTCTCTCTCTTGTGTTCTCCTCTGTTGTGTGCGAAGTGAATGTGGCCCATCCTATGAACGGGTTTGTGGCAGTGCGGCGTGGGCAATGTTACTCGCCTCCGTGACTTTGGTTCACAGGTGCCCACTGGGTAACGCGAAATGAGTAACACCTCTGGCATCTTCTATGGCGAAACGAATAATGTTCAGTGCCTGCCATTCGAAAAAAATAGGCAATGGAAGAAAGTAAGTAGTTGTTTATTTAACACTTTTCGATTCTTTTTTTTTTGTTGACTTGCTACATAGCGAGTAGTTATTTTCAGGTCTAATAAAAGGGGTTAAAGAAAGGGTTTTGCAATTTGAATTTTTCTTTAAAAAAATATGTGATAGTTTGCCTGGGAGTATGTGAGCTGAGCTCTTTTAGTTAATATTTTCCTTAATTTCATTTTTTTCTCTTTTTTGGCTTCTTGCGTTGTGCTTACGAGATTTTTTGTTGCAGGTATCGAATACTGGGGTTTACCCATTGAATTTCATTCTAAAGGATATTAAAATTTTTTAAAAACATTTTCAAATTAAATAATTTAAGTTTTAAATAGATATTTAATGTTTAATAGTTTTAAATTGGTTGTTTTCATTGTTAAGTTTAATTTATTTTCTTTTATAATTTCAGCTATAGGCCTTCATCTTCAAGAAAATCTATGAATCAAGAAAATCTAGAAACTTTGTTTTCATTTGCAGAATCTCAGAGCTGATTTGATTTTTAGAAAGGCTGCTGGGTGCTTGCAAACGGAAATTGTACGCTTTGATGGAGTTCTAGGTTAGTTGTGAGTTCTAAGTTTGATCCTTAAAGCAAATGAAGCAACCAGTGTAGATATTCAGCAAGGTCCAATTTAAATCTGCCATGGCGGAAAGTCCTCATGTTTATTTTGGTGTTGAAGTTTGAAGAAAGAGGGATGTCTGAAAAATTCACCCCTGTTGTGTGTGACACACCATTATTAACTGCTGCTAAATTTTTCATAAAAACTTTAATAAAAGGATTTAATGACTGCTTGGAAATTAATTTCAAGACTGTGTATAATTTCAAAGAAATGTAATTTCAAACTGTATCAAGTAGTTCTTAAGTCACGAAAAAAAATTATTTATTTAATAATAATTATGTATTTTTAACTTATCAACGTTAATTCAAAAAAATGAAGGTAATGTATTGCATTTACAATTGGATGAAATTTATTTTACAGTGTGATTTGTTTTTAAATAAAATTATTATGCTGTGAAATAGTCCTGTTTATTATGGATTTTTTTCTTCTTAATTACTGTAGTGTGTAATTTCTTTTACAACTTTGCATTAAATGTTCAACATTTAAAAGAAAATTGATCTGTCAAGCATAATATTTGCATTAATAAAATTTTATGAAATATAACGTTAGAAAATCTCTTTAGTAGATCATGCTTAAGTGTCATGAAAGCAGTTGAATACATTTAAAATTTGGTTATTTTTAATCTTTCGGCATGATATCGGAAACGACATTCTTTTAACGCTGATTTTAAAGTATAGCCCAAACTCGTGAGGATTTTTAATATCAGCATTGTGTTTATTATTTTTAATTTTGGAAATTTTCTCATGATTATTCATTTGAAATTTGAGACAAATAGTTTATGCTTTTTTATTTTTATCATGTTTAAAGCAATATAACTGTAAAATAATTACAATCGTAAAATAATTATAATCATAAAAAAGTACTTTCGACGTACAGCTGAATAACATTTACATTATGATAAAAATTTATAATCAATTTAGAAAAGAATATTGCTTAAGCTTTCATCTGAAGGGTTTTGTATATTCTTTGTGAAAACACGTGCAATTGCATCTTCTTTTTTTAGAAAGTCCCATTCAGGACGCTTACCTGTAATGTCACGTTTGTTTTTACTATGTTTGCAATGCGTAAACTCTTATCAGCGAAATACAAACAATGGAACTGATTGATTTTAAACAAAAATTTCGTGATGGCGAGGTAATCAGAAAATAACTGATGGTAGTCAAGCTTGGATCGATACAAAATACAGCTTATAGTAAAAAATTATGTTATTTTGTCTCATTCTTGTATGCAATTAAATGTTTGTGCAAATTTAACTCTGATAAAATATAATATTTACTACTTTTTTTTGGTTTCGAGATTTAAATGTTACCTAAATTTCAAGTAAATAAAACTACATAGCATCTTTAACTAATTGTTGAATCGTTAAATATTTTTGATGTGTCAATATAAAATTATTTTTAAATTACAAAAAATTATTGGCAAATTTTTTTAATTAAACTTCATATGGGCTTTTTTTGTTTTACTCTTGCTGAAAACATTTCGGCAGGAGTCTTTGGATTTTCTGAGTAAAATTTTAGACTCTTGAAGGATAAAGTCACGTAAGTATTTTTCCATTTAATTTCAGAGAAAAACTGTATGCAAGTGAGTAATTTGAATATTTTTAAATTTTCTTTATTGCTTCAATTATTACAAAAAATAACAATTTAAAAATTCGAGATGTAATTTTATTTTAATATTTTTGGAAATGAATGACGTAGTTATACTTTTAAAGAAAAAAAAACAAGTTAAATTTCAACTCAATTCAAATGTAAATTTAACTTTGCAATTATGTAGTGTGGTTTTCTTAATTTACAATTTCAGAATATAAATAATTAATGATAATCATGAAATTACACATGGCTTAAGTTACATATTTTATTAAATATGTTTTACATTACAAACTGGCAAATTCATTTTGATAAAATAAGCTCATTTCTAAAAAAATTAAGAGTACATTTCAAAATTAGAGACTTGAAAATTATTAATGATATAAAATTTGTCAGAAAACCCAATGTATGAAGAAAGAAAAAAATATTAATAAAAGTTGTGGTATAGTATTATTTCTTACATAAATTTGAAATGTTAAAAAAAATCAGCTGAACATAAGATGTACTTTGGAGTAAGAGGGAGGAAAATGGATGGTAGCTGAGTTCGCTCAAATAATTTTATTTAGTATTTCTGTATTGTTAATTAAACAATTCATGGAATGAATTAAAACTATTGTTCTGCCTTTTACTGCTTCACAGCAATAGAGAAAATTAAGTAAAATTATCTTTCCGAATTATTCTACTACCATCCAAATCTTCCTCTTGATTACTCCAAAAATAAAAAGCAACGCAAGATCAAAACTAATTCAAAATAATATTACGGCGAGCGCTAGATAATATTAGTTTGCATAGAATCTAATATTATATAAAGCAGAGCAAACAGCGACGTCTTGCATCTTTCTAATATTAGAAGTTGTGCAAGATAGCGTTAGATTTTACCTATTTTTTGATATTATCTAATATTAGGTGTTACTTGGGACCCTATCTGAAGTTTTGAGGTCCTCTTCTGACGTCATAGCATTGATGTACTATTTTTTTCCTTCTTTTTGACGTTCCGGGTTTGTTTGTATATACTTGGAATACTCAGTTGCACTGAATTAAATTTCTGCATCTTGCATTTGCGAAAAAATGTGTTCTTCATAATTTGAAATATCAGATGAGGATATGAGAAAAGTAATTTGGGAAGTTATCCTATATTGATATGCCTGATAGTTGAGTAGCGGAAGACTGCGGTTTAGTTTACACCAGCAAAAATTCTTCTACCTGAATTTTTTTCTTTTTCTTTTTGTCGTATACCTGTTTAGGCAGTGGGGGTGCGATTGTTCCCTTTTTTCAGTGGCGCAATCTATGACCAGGAATTCGACTTCTGCCACGCCATTCACACAACCACAACCCGTTTAAAGGGCGGGTCACATTCACACACAAAGGAGAAAGGACATAGAACACACAGAGAGAGAAAGAAACATCCATGCCTTGCCCGGGATTCGAACCCAGGACCTTTCTGATGCAAGGACCGTTCCCTGTCCCCTACACAGGCCGGTCGGCGCCTGAATCTTCTACCGGAAGGTAAAACAACGTCTACAAAAACACAGTTGGAAAAAATGTGAATAATATGAGCCAATTTCATTAAATTCCGTGAGCAACTTTTTGAGTTGCAGTCATTTTTGTAGTTTTTCCTTAATTTATGATAATCTGTGTTCATGAGTGTGGGTTTAGAAAGAAAACAAAGTAAATTTTCTTTCTTTCTTTTTTAACTTGTTTTTATAATTATTAAAAATAGTGTTTTTTGAATATTTATACATCCTAAAATTTTAAAGCAATAAATGTATAAAAAAATACTTTCTGCTTACGGATTTTTTAGAATAATTTCAGCTTTTGTATAATAATTTCATTAAAAAATGAAATTTTTTAATGAAATTATTGTGTGATTTTTATTGTGAAACTATTTTTTTGCGATAAAAAAGTCGTTTATCATAGCGATTTTTTTTTAAAAAAAAGAAGGATTTTTAATGTGAAAGCATTCATAAAAATATTGTTTAGTGAACCTTTTCAAGCTTTTAATATTTAAATAAGAAATAAGAATTTTAATCAAGACATTATCAGTAGTTTTGAAAATTCGAAACAAAATTATTTTCCAGTTTTAAAAACTCAAGACAAATTTTATATTGTTCTGACTTACTTTTATGAAGATTATAAAATGATTTTATTCATCTGGAATTCTTCACCAAAAGACACTTGGCACTCAGAAAAAAGAAAGATATGAAAGGAACCCTTAAAAAATATTTTTTACTTAGATAAAGAACTACGTACATCAAATAAAATCGTTTTCCTTTATTAACAAACGAACATTGAAGCTGCATGCATACCTTTTAACTAAAGTCGTCCGACATTTTTCATAAATTATTATTGTTCCATTCCGTTTATGATACATCCACATGACAAATTAAATTCACTGGGTTGGGAATAAACAAATTACGTCAGCAGATTTTGACGTCAACAGGTGAGGTAAGGAAAGACAGGTTGTTCAGTGTCTTCTAGATCATCTGCTTTCGTACCTGATTGGCTTATCGCCGAAAGCTTGGCTCCAAATTGAGAAATTTTAACATTTTCGACATAGTTTCTACCCTCTTAAGATTGTATTTTTACAAAGAGCTGTCTCCATTTAAAGTTCTAGTCAGCAGATGATATTCGGTCGATTCATAGTCCGTTGCACTTTATTTGTTGTGACATTTTTAAAGTTTTCGGCATTCTGTAAGTGAGTATTATAAAAAATGATTCAGGATAATTTGTGTGCGGTTTTAAACAAAATTGACGATTTGCGTTTGGTAAGTATTTTTATATATTGCTCTTATACATTCGCTTAATTTTTAAGTATTTTAAATAAGAACAAATATTTTAATTATTTATTAACATTATATTTTATTTGTTTATTAATAATATATAAGTTATTACACGCTCAATTTGCGTCTTTTCTCATTATACCATTTGTCTTACGTTTACGATTCAAACTTTTTAACCCTTTGTAGTTGTATTTTGTTGAAAATTCAATAAGAATTACTAAATTATCATACCGTAAACCGGGGAGAGTCTACCCATAAAGGGGCGAGTCTACCCATTTTAGTTTTATTTAATTTTCACTATTTTAAATTGCAAATAAAAAATTTTTTACCGACGGAGGACTTAGTTTAGACTCTAAGGAAGATGGCGCTGTAGTAGTTTGATCCGTTTTTATTTATTTGGTGTCTTTTTAACCAACCTGTTCAAACGTCTTTTGAGAGATTTGTATTGAAAATCAGCAAACTTTTAGTTGGTGCTCCGTAAGTATATTATTATTATTACTATTTTCACTTTGGTTAAGTGATAAACTTATCTAAGACTAAGATTACATTAATTTTATATGAAAAAAANATTAAATATGTGTAAATTTATTGTATATAACTGATATTTTATCCATCCAATTCATGTGATGTTTCAATTTTTAACTATGTTATTTTTTGTTTATTTTTATTAAGGTTCTGTTCCTGTTAACCCTTTGGCGTCATTTTTATATATTTCTTTTTGACGCTCTAATTGCAAGAAAAAATAGATATTTTATTATATTTTAATTATAAATAAGCAGTCTAATAGCTTAATGATCTTTCTATCGGAATTATATTTGTCTATCGGAATTATATTTGTACTAAAATATAAAATCAAAAAAAGTAATTTGAATTTTTTTTAAATTCATATTCGATAATTTGCCAATAATTGTCTTTGTAAATTAAAGAAATTTCAATAATGAATAACTATTTATCTGAGATCTAAACAGCTTCAAATAAATGTAAATTTGAAGAAAAAAAATATTGTTTGGAAGTGAGCTGTGTTTGGAATATTTGAACTTTAACGTAGGAAAAGAACCGGTATGCTGTATTTCAGAACCATATAATATTAAAATTCTAAATGCAATATTTTTCACTTAATTTGAACTAAATATAGTACAAAAGGTATGAAAAATATGCTTAATAATAATTCTGCGTCAAAGGGTTAAAAATTTAAAACTCGTATAATAGTGTTTTGAAAATTATTTTTATTTATCCTTCTTAACGCATCACTTTTCGTATGTATTTTGGATAGATAATAATAATAATAATAATAATAATAATAATAATAATAATAATAATAATAATAATAAAACTTTTGAATCTGTTTCGAAAAAAAAATCTATACATAATCATTCGAATACTTGATACGTGTAGTCATTTATAAACTGTCAAAGAAATTAAAATTTTATAAATGGTTCAATTAAACTGAAGATATTTCCAGAGATATTTCTGTCACAGTTTTAGAACAGTTTTAAAAAAACAAAATACAGAAATTAAAGAACTGAAAAAATCTTTCATATTCGACTGCTGACTTCCTTAATTGATTTTGCACTTTTCACTGAAAACTTTCACTGGAGGCAGACTTTAATTGAATAAAAAAAAATGCAACTTATAAAAATGGAATAGAAGTACAAAATTCTTCAATTGAATTGAAAATTTTTTCAATTATTGTTACTATTTCAGTTTATTTTATGCATTCTCCTAAAAAGGCAAAGCTAAAACAAATGGTGCAAATAGGATCTGCCTTCTCTTTTCGAATAAAAAGTCTGTAAAGAGAAGTTCCTGCACGGAGATAAAATTTCTGGTAAAAATGACGCTCTGTTAGGAGTAATGACATTTTTGTTAAAAAAGAAAACCATGTTCTGGTTAATAAAACCAAAATAAATCATTCATTTGGTAACTTTTCTGTTCATATTGTAATTGTTTACCTGAAATTCTGCTTTTTAGATAAGTGTTCTTACTTCCACACAATTAGTAAAAATTACGAAACTGAAAAGTAAATGGGTTTTATGCCATGTTCAAATGTATCATGATAAAATTACCAAATTTTACCACATTTATCAAATTTTATCAAATACTATAAAACCATATATTATTCATAATTTTATCAAAATAATAACCAAAATGCTTCTGTTAAAACTACAGAGCTTTTTGGGGTTCCTATGGAGTCAGACATACGGTAAATTTTACCATATTGTGGTAGTTTTGACAATACTTTTTTTCTCAGTGTGAGATTAAGAAAATTCGGGCTATGCACATTTATAGAAATATCTTCAATTAATAATGTTAAATTTCTATGAAATTTTAAAATATAATGTACTAATTCTTTTTTTTTTCCTTTGAGTAAGTGCAAAAATTTGTGTATGTTGAGCTTTCAACTGCCTAAAATTATCAGGTGAAAGTAATAGTTGGAACCCGATCTGATTTATGAAAAAATGCTTATTTGTACATAAGATTGTAGAGAAATGAATAGAAATATTGCATTAATCCAAATAATTATGGTATATTTTCTAAAAGGCATCATTTTTCACCAGTTGTCACTCAAAAGGCATTTCGAAACTTTAGGACACTAGAAAGTAAATTTTTTTGCATGCGCCATTTGTAATTCAGATTTTCCTACATTTAATTAACGACAGTATATTTTGAAAAAAAAAGAAAAAACTTTAGCTTCGAAATTTAAATCCCTCTTTAGGCTTTCTTTCAAGTAAACCACGTATTCTCTATTCAAAAACGAATTTAAAATTGTGTAAAATGTTGACAGACAATAATGGAAAATGATGAGCAGCATATTATTGATGAATGAATTTTTTCTTTTTTTGCTTAATAATCGATGCTCGATAGAACGATACATGTGAACCGAGACAAAACGGACATTAGAACGAGAGGTCATTTGATCCTGAGTGCACAAAAATACCGTAATTCTTAAATCACGCTTCAGAAAATTAATTTTAATAAAGCATTGTTTTACTTTAATCATAATTTGGATAATAGTAGAAAAAAATTAAACATTGCAACTTTATTTTCTATGTTAATGTATACTTAAAAGTAACATTTAAAATAATACTTTCTAATTATAAAATTCGCTTAATATAATAAGCTGGTTCTGGCTGCCATTTTTCGATAAATAACATACGTTAAGATAACTGCGAAAACCACTACTTTTAATTCGAAAATAGGCCCCAAAAGGGGATAAATATTTCACAAAAAGAATAAATACAATTATCAAGCAAGAAAAATATGATTTATTCATTTATGGTATGCCTTGCAAAGAATGCTACATAGGTTGAGAAGGCATCCTTTTAACCAATAATTGAGTGGTTAGGGTACTCCATACATTCTTCAATTATCAATGCGAAATAATCAATTTAAGAGAGAGTCTAGGAAGTCATGCCATTCTTCTTTTATTAAAGGAGAATTCAAGGCGTTTTAAATTTATTTAGGGGTAACATCAAAAGAAATAAAGGTTTGAATAATTTCTTCAAGACTTTTTTCAGTGTCAAATGACTATTTAAAATTTTTTAGATCAAACTGTGGTAAAAAGTACCTGAAACGCTGACAGCATCTTCCGTAAAAAGTTTTTAACAGAAAATTCCATTTTTACCGTAAAATTTTTTCCTGTATATTTTATAGTAATAATTATTAAACTACAGTGATTCAGTATTTTGTAATAAATATTGTTGTAAAAATTATGGTATCTACATCTTAGCCGGCCAGACAGTCCAATGTGGGCCAATGCCTTCCTCTGAAGATTTCTCCAGAATGACTTCTGATTTATCTTTGATCACCAATTCTTTTCACTAATTTGCAAGAAAATCAGACTCCATCGAATCAGCCCATCTCAACCGCAGCCTTCCCTGCTTTCTTGTTCCAGTGCGTAAAAAAGCAGTATCTTTTTTATTGTATTGTCATCACTCATTCGAATCACATGGGCTATCCAATTCATTCTCCTTATTTTTATGTATTTAATAATAATACGTTGTTTAAAAATCTTGTACAGTTCAAAGTTAAATCTCTTTCTCCAGTTATTGTTTTCATTTACACTAACAAGTATAACTCAGCAAAATCTTTTTCTCAAATATTGCGATGCAATTTTTTAAAATTATGGCATGTAAGATTTTATGGTAAAAAGGACTGGCACTCTGGGAGCCGGTACATTTTACCATTATTTGCTCTCGAATTTTTGGTCGTAACTTTTGGTCGGTATATTGGAATGAAAGATTTAGGGCAGTCGTTCTAATGGAGACTTAAATAACATTGAGTCTATAAAACACAAAACGGCACTTAATGCGTCTGTCATTATAATGGAAGGGTTAATAAAATGAGGATTGTAATAAAAAGCATAAACATTATTTCATATTGATTCCACGTCAACTAAGAACTTTTGCAATCACCTGGTATGTAGAACAAAAAGTTTCAACTATGTATTCAAAAAGATATATTTATTTCTTTAATTATTAATAAAATTTAAATATTTATGTTCTTCTTTAGAGGTCTTACTTGAAATTCAAAGTGTTGGAATCTGTGGATCTGATATTCACTATTGGAAAAATGGTCGAATCGGCGATTTTATTGTTAAAGAACCTATGATCGTTGGTCATGAATCAAGTGGCAAAGTTGTAAAAATTGGTAAAAGTGTGCAGCACTTAAAAGAAGGTATGCTTTCTATTTAATTAAAAGTTTTCTTTCAACTTATACTTAAATTTTTAAAGAAGTATATTAGTTGCACTAAGTTTAAATTTATAAAATAAGGTTCATTCTATTCAGTTAGATTAAGTTTTTAACTTAAATGTAAATTCAGTTGCTCCAGAAGTGCTCATTTTGACATTCTAGAATTACTTATATTATTTAATGCATCCAATAATAAATCTTTATAATAAAATATAAATAAAGTCTTTAGAATCAAAATTTTATTTAAAGTTATAAACTATTATAAATGTAATGCGTTTCAATGACTTGTAAAAAAATTTAACTATGTAAAAAATTTTTGAAGCTAGTAATATGGTTGCAATACTAAATTATTTTAGTGTTTTTACGAAATGATTACAAAATTTAGAATTTATTACTAATAATTTAACAGTCTAACACATTGTTTATCATCAGCAGTAATTAGGCCAATAATCAAGATCGAACTCGCTACCTCATCTCTCCAGCATTGTGTTAGCTATTATTTAGAATGGCTGGGAAATTATAACACAGTATTGTGAAAATTGAATAAAATTATCAAATTATTCTATAACTTTAATGATTGCTTCATTAGAATTTCTATAAATAGCTTCTACATGACTACTATTGTTGTTATTATTTTCAGTAGAATGTCTATTCTAGAGACAAATGGGATAAGACATTTTCACGTGTATNACTCGCTACCTCATCTCTCCAGGATTGTGTTAGCTATTATTTAGAATGGCTGGGAAATTATAACACAGTATTGTGAAAAATGAATAAAATTATCAAATTATTCTATAACTTTAATGATTGCTTCATTAGAATTTCTATAAATAGCTTCTACATGACTACTATTGTTGTTATTATTTTCAGTAAAATGTCTATTCTAGAGACAAATGGGATAAGACATTTTCACGTGTATCAATACTTTGAAATCTGGTTCTTCAAATGAAAGAGATTAAGATTGAATGAATACTCTCTTCATTTTTTTCAAATATCAAAAGCTTTTATCGATCCGCTCTTTATCTTTAACCAAAGTCGTTTTTTCAAAGCACTCATGATAAAGAATCACGTACTGATATCATGAAAGTACTGAGAGTTAAGACTATTTTAAGGTTTCTAAATTCGTCATTCTTAATCTCTGAATTCCTGATTAAAGGGAGGGATAATTGGGTGAAATGAAATATCAGGAGCTTCATTGTAACATTTATAAACAACTCCTCTACCGCTATAATTTGATCCTAAAACAGAAAACGAAAGGACTTTTAAACTAAACGTTAAACTAAAATTGATTTCATGAAATTCGTAACCCGTAGCTCCGTTAAACGGAAATAAAAGTCGCGAAGATTTCCAATGATTAGTCCGACTACAAGTGAACTCAACCGCATGACTTTAAAACTTGCATTATCATCACCCAACCAAGGCCAAGCACATTACCCCATTTTTAAGGCTCTATATTTTATGGTCCATGCTAGGAACGCCACGTAATTTTGATCCTGGTGAGACGATGGGGATAGCGCTTGAATTGAAATCTTTCTCTCCAAACTTCACGATAATCAAAAAGTGAACTTAGGCTGCGTATACACACCAGTTGTTTGGTCCATCCCCAGGAGGATCGAACTCACTACCCCAAGCTAATATATGTATATANACGGCCAAAAAATTCAGATTTTTATATTTTTTATTTATTTAAAAACTAATTCACATTCACTTATAAACTTTTAGGTATTAATACACAAGCTGGTTCACTGATTCGCTTATTCTTTTTTTTCGTTAATTTACTCGCTGTAAGCAAACCTAACAATTATAAGTAATCGTCCGTGATTAATAATAAGAAGAAAAAAATCAAAATAAAAAAATAATACTTTTAAAAACCACGTTTTTGTAGTGGAGAATAATAATTAAAAAATAAAAATTTGAAAAACAAAAAACGTGGAGCGCATGAAGTACATAACAGTAATATTAGTGTGTGTATGCGTACTCATTAGAATATGTATCTAATTGTAATTGTGTCTGAATGTGTATGTGGAATATGTTTGTGTATATGCATGTGTATGTGTATGTATATGTGTATGTGCATTTGGCTGTGCATGTGTAGGAGTAAAAAAAATGTGTATATGTACTGTTATGCATTTCATGCACCCCACGCTTTTCGTTTTTCAAATTTTTATTTTTTAATTATTATTCTCCACTACAAAAACGTGGTTTTTAAAAATATTATTTTTTATTTTGATTTTTTTTGTATTCACTTCCAAAATCTCAATTTTTTTTCACTCACTGTACACAAAACTTTTCAACTGATATGTGACACTAATTTGAAATAATCGAATTAACTACAAAAGACAATCGCGAAAATATTGATTTTTCTTTAATTTTATTTTACTTCGTATGTCTTCTTTCTCTTCATGTTCATGCATTGTCATCCATTTCTGAACTATGTGCCAAATTTGAAGTCTGTAGCTAGACGGGAAGTTAGTTTAAAATCGATTACAAAATCCCACCCGAACAGACATACACGAAGGCAAGTTAATGTAAACGTGGTAAAAATAAATAAATTAATGATAATTTTTATATCTAGATTAACATGAGTGATTCTTTCGCTCGACTGTTATAAAATTTTTATGATTAGTAAATTAATAAGTAAATAAATAAAAAAAATATACCGGGAAATATTTTTTTAGCCCAAAATTGCTTGTTTTAGGTTAAATGACTTAAGCATTTCGTATCAAAAGTTATTTTTATTTTTTAAGTTCTTTCAGATGTGTAGGTACTCTTTTTCACTTTTACTTGTCACAGATCTTATAATTTCTCATTTTCTATTATATATATTTTTTTACTTTTGTTTTTAGTATTTTTGCTTTTTGCCTTAGATTATTTTTATCAATACAAACATATAACTTGAACTTTCCAAATAATAAATAAAGAAAAAACTGTCTTAATTCATTTTTATAAAAATTATTTAGTTTCTTCGTTTCGTCTTGAGACTTCTTGATAAGCTAGTGTGCTTTTTACATATTTAGGTGACAGGGTAGCTATTGAGCCAGGTGTACCTTGTGGAAAATGTGAGTTTTGTAAGAAAGGAAGTTACAACATTTGTCCTGATATAAAATTTTGTGCTACACCACCATACGATGGATCACTGTGCCGTTATTACTGTCACGATGCAGATTATTGTTTCAAGTAAGCTACTTTGTGAATAAATTTTCTATGACAAGTATTTTGTACTTTAATATAACGATATGAGCAAACTTCCTTTATTGAAGTCGTCATTCTTTTCAGATGAAAAAATGATTTAAATGTACAACGAAGAAAACAGAACAAAACGGTCGGACATTCTAAGCATCGAATTTCTATGAAAGGACTCACTTTTAATGATTCATGTACCGAATCTTAAATTAACTAATTAGTTAGGGCAAACGATATTTTGGGTTAAGAAATCAGCACCAAAAACAGGTGCTGTCACTGAATAAACATGCATTTCTTTAAAGAAACGGATACAGATTCTTGACCCCTCGAAAATGGGGGATAGCTGAAATCTGAAGAAAATCGTCTAATTGAAAAGAAATACCGAACTGTTAGCAGTTCGGTTAAGAAATCTATAAAAATTCCATTCCATTCCTTGTTTCATTCCAAACTGTTAATCCCAGTTTTTGCGTATTTTGTCCTATCATCACAACTGATGAAGTGAATAAATTTTTTTATATGATTATAAAACGTGCTTGTATTCACCATATTCCCGGTTCATGTTCTCCCCTGCAGGAGCAGTATTTGTAGAGGTTTTTTTAAATTTCCGGTAGAAGATTCAAGTAGAAAAATTTCTGTTGGTGTAAATTAAATTGCGTAAATTCGCATCTCAACGATCAAGTAATTGCATATCAATATAGAACAAATTCCCAAAGTACTTTTTTTTTCATATCTTCATCTGATATTTTAAAATATGAAGAACACGTTTTTTCGCAAAAACACGACACAAATATTAAATTCAGAACAACCGAGTATTCCGAGTATATACAAACTAACCCGGAAAGTCAAAAAGAAAGAAAAAAATGGCACATCATCAATGCCATGACATTAGAAAAGGACCTTAAGACTTAAGACCGGTAGGTTTTGTTTGTAGTTCCGAGTACAAACAAACTAACCCAGAACGTCAAGAAAAGAAATAGTCCCCTCAATGCCATGACGTTAGAAAAGGACCTTAAGACTTAAGACCGGTAGATTTTGTTTGTAGTTTTGGAGATTCTGCTGAATATGGGTAATATTTTGCATAAAATAACTATATTCATTTTAATGATGAGCAAACAAATTTTAAGGTTCACAAATTTATTGTTCTTAAATCTACGTAGTATCTCATCTAGGGAGTATAAATTACAAAACCCAAAATTTGATCGATTAGTTCCTGAGGAATAAGAATTTAAAAATACAACTGATGATCAGAGATAGCTAAATACGCAAAAAGTGCAGTGAGTGATAAGGCGTATTAACTTTTAACTGCTCCCTTACCTCTATTGGGGCCGTCTTTTGCAAGATTGTGGCTTCCCCATTTGCATTTTTAGCGTAAATATTCCAAATCCGTCAAAAAGAAGGGCATATCAATAGAGAAAAAAAAGGCATTTTTGTGTCTTATTTCGTAACTTCATATCGTCTGAACTAACAAATTAGCCTATTTCATTTTAGTTTCTTAGGTTAACGCAAATATTGAGCAGTAATAGGAGAATATCCGATATATAGATCAAAGTTAATCATGGTATTTAATGAATGTATATTTTGTGTACTTAGACTGGATTCTATCACTGAATTAGATTAGTGATCCTGAAATAAAAATAACATAATAAAAATAAGAAATATCGGGTTGAGTAAAAAGTTTTCCGCCAAAAAAAAAATCCTGAAAAATGACAATCACATACAAAATCAGCAAAGCTAATGAGAATAGTTATCTCCATGCAAATCAACAATAGTCTGCCAACGTTTTGGCAACTTTTCATTCCCTTCTGCGAAGAACTGGGGGGTGCGCGAGTAGAGAAAGCAATCGACCTCATTTATGACCTCGTCATTTGAACGCAAAATTGTGCCATCAAGATGCAGCTGCAGATTTGAAAACAGATAGTAATCCGAAGGCGCCATGTCTGTGCTGTATGGTGGATGTTGCATCAAATCCCACTCTAACGTGTGGAGCGTCATGCCGGTCATTGCACTAACATGTGGCCAAGCGTTATCTTGATGAAAGAGAATCACCTTCCTTCTGAGCTCGTTTTCTCGTTTTTCGCGAATCGCATCGCTAACTTTGATTAGCATATTGCTGTATATTGTACTGTTGATAGCCTACCCGCTTTTAAGGTACTCCTTGTAGGTAATTCCACGACAATCCCACCAAATACGGAAAAGGACCTTCTTGTTAGTTAGCGTTAGTCTTGCAACCGAACTTGCGGATTCCCCGGATGCTGAACACCCTCTTCTACGGCTAGTATTGTTGTAGTATACCCATTTTTCATCACAGGTCACAATTCTGTCCAGAACGTCCTCTTTTCCTTGATCTCTGAGCAGAACCAAACAGGCGGCTTTTCTCTTGCTCTTGTCTTCAGCAGTCAATTCGCGAGTCACTCAACGGTTAAACTTAATTGTTAGATTTATGCGTTTGAGAGTATTTGCTATTGTTTTTTGGCAAATGTCAAGCTCTAACGCAATAGTTCGTGTTGAAAATTTCTGTCTTGAACAATAATTTGCTTTAACTGGTCACAATCAACCTCAATAGGGCGGCCAGAACGTGGTTCATCTTCAATGTTGAAATTCCCAGTATTAAACTTTCGAAACCAAACTTTTACTGTATCCTCATAAGAAACAGTATTGAAACTTAAACTTTCACACATTTTCTTGAGGCATTCAGTTACACTTAGTTTATTTCGGAACTCATAGTACATAATGGGTCTGATCTGTTAACGTGATAGCTACATCTTAAGAAATTTTTTGGTGCACAAGATGATAAAGTTTTGACAAACAAATTACACAGTTGTGTAGTTCCAATTTTCTGCTTTAAAATACAAAAGCCCGTTTCAAAAAAAGTTAACCACCACCGGCAATGGCTGCTGCTAGCACGGAGGTATTTCCCTTTGGCGGAAAACTTTTTACTCAACCTGATATGTATCTTTATTTAAAGAATATAAACATAAATACAGCTTAACTTTTTTGGATATTTTATAATTTGGAAAAATATTGTTTTGTTTTTGAAACATTAGCGCATATGCGATGCGTGATTATATGCGATGAACTAAACAAAAATTACCCAGGAAGGAGAGTAACAAAAAAGAAACATATTTTAAATTAGTTCAGTACAAAAATGCTGGAAAACGAAGTTAAATTTAGAAAACTGCGACCAAAGTAGTTGATATGTTGGACACTTTAAATTCTGCAAATTCTTAAAAAAATAAAAATTTATTGTAATAAAATGAAAAGTTTGCCTGTCGATATGTTTTTCATATTACTACAAAATTTTGAAATTGTTCTGAAACTGTGCAAAAGCTGTGAGGGATCATTTTAGGCCTTTAATTAGTTTTGCAGATACACAGTGGTTTTTGAAAACAAAAAGTTTACTAGAAGATTACAACTTGTTTGCTTTTTAAAAGTTTTGGCATAAAAAAAAAGAAAACATTTATTTTAACAATGCCTTAATCTTAAGGCTCCCCGACAATGTAAGCTATGATGAAGGTGCCATGATTGAACCACTTTCTGTTGCCTTATACGGTTGTAAAAGGTCTGGTGTTACTGCGGGCAAGTCTGTCCTCATATGCGGAACTGGTTTGTACAATTTTTTTCCGTTGCTGTTTTGAAAATTGTTTAACTCTTGCTTTATTTTTGAACAATTTGCTGTTGTTGATTTTGAAAATTGTTTAACTCGTGCTTTATTTTCGTACAATATGCTGTTGCTGATTTTGAAAATTGTTTAACTCGTGCTTTATTTTTGAACAATTTGCTGTTGTTGATTTTGAAAATTGTTTAACTCGTGCTTTATTTTCGTACAATATGCTGTTGCTGATTTTGTAAATTGTTTAACTCGTGCTTTATTTTTGAACAACTTGCTGTTGCTGTTTTAAAAATCGTTTAACTCGTGCTTTATTTTTGTACAATTTGCTGTTGATTTCGAAAATTGTTAAACTCTTGCTTCATTTTTGTATGGTTTGCTGTTGTTGTTTTGAAACTCACTTAACTCTTGCTTTAATGTTCTTATTTATATGTCTTTATATTGCATTTTTATTTGAGTGTCATATTAAAAGTTATTACCGTTAATAAATTTTACAGTTTAGTTTTAGGCTTCTTTTTTTTTGAGAAGTAAATTTTTTTGCAATCCCGTAAGATGAGGAAAAGATTTCAATAGCTTATTTAATAATTTTCACCCTCCTTTTTTTGCAAAAATTCATTGCTTGTCTTAGATTAAAAAATCTCACTGTTTTAAGCTTTTTTTACTGTATTTTACAGTGTGTATCCTAAATTATTGACCATATTTTATGATTTATTGAAAAATAGTTAAAATGTAAACTTCAAACCTCACAAGCAGATAATAGTAGCTAAATTTTCTAATTTCTAATTTGAAAATTCTAATTTGAGGGGGAATGAATACCAACTCACTACAACCGTGTACCCTAGAGCGCCCCGCCCTCATTCGAGGTATTATTCTCAATTTAAATTTTTTTTTTCAAGAAGTGATCTTCTTCTATACTTTATCTGAATTAAATTTTGTAATCTTTTTTATTTTAATATTTGTATTCTTTTTAGGACCGATAGGCTTACTAAATATTCTAGTATGTAAAGCCATGGGCGTTTCAAAAATATGTGTCACTGGTGAGTAAAATTTAGTATTTTTCTGCATCTTATATTACAGTGGAGTCCCGATAATCCGAGCCCCGGTTATCCGAGTTTCTGCTTTAACCGAGCTATCAAATATTTTAAGGATTTTTTTTTGTTCTAGATTATTTTTTACTTTTAAAAATACCACCGAAAAATAAATCTGAATTTTATCTTCCAAACACTCGGGAAAACAAAATATAACAACTTGATCTCATGAAATGATCGTTAATATCGTCAATAATGAAAATGAACCTAGCGAAGATGATGAAGATAGTGACGATGAAAATCAACATATAAAAATCTCTCACACAGATGAACTTAAAGCTGTCGAAAATGCTACTGAATTCATGGAACAACAGAAAGAGGCGACACCAGCCTTCCTGTTATCCCTAAAAAATGGTGGGGCCTCCCTGGCCGAGCGGTATCGTCGGTCCAAACGCTCTGTTAAGCGTGGAGGTAGCGGGTTCGAGTCCCGCCGTAACCCTGGATGNATTAATATAATAAATTGATTTAATTAATGAATATAATTAATGAATATAATTAATTAACATAATAAATTAGCATAATAAATTAACATAACTAAGATAATTAATAAATATAATTAATTAATATAATTAATTAATATGATTAATAATCATAGTTAAAAAAAATTTAATAATAAAAATAAATTAAACTTAAAAGACATGAAGACTAGATATATTCTTTTTAATTCAAATAATATAAATGAAAGAAATTAACAATATTTTATCCCAACTATTATCAACTAATATTCGATCTTTGTTTCCTTCGATAGATATATCTGAAAACCGACTTTCTTTTGCCCAAGCTCTTGGAGTAAAAAGTATTGTTTGCGTGAAGAACATGGAAATCGAAGCCGTTATGAAAGAAGTGATTGCCAGGTTTGGTGGGCAACCAGATATAACCCTTGAATGTAGCGGTGCAGAACCGAGTGTAAAACTTGGTTTGAAGGTGAGCTTTCTAAGACAATTAATTCAGAAATAGTGAAATTTTATTAAACTTTAATAAATTACATAGTTATGTTTAGTATTGATTTAAGGTGGAATGTGGTTTCTTCCTTTATATTAATTATAAACAATGCATATAAAAAAGGAAAGAAACAACAAAATTAATTAAAACAAACGGGCACCACCCCCCTGTTCACTGAAGCACTCTTACCCTTGAATACTGTTATGCTTGTGATTATCTGTGTCATTGCTTGATTATAATTATTTAATTGCGCTTGATTATGTGTGCTATACTTAAATGCCTTGAGGATCGCTTATATGGTTTGCTATTCAAACCATGCTCGCTTTGTTCGTTACTACGCTGAGAAAGAATTACTGTTAAAAAACTAAACACCAAAACAAAAACTAAAATATACGATATTTAAACAATTAATTTGTTAATTTTCCTGTTCATATGGTAACTGTTTACCGTAAATTCTGGTTCTTAATATTTTAACCTTCTATAACCACACATTTAGTAAAAATACAAAATCGAAAAGTAAATGTAACCGAATAATTGGTTTTTATGCCATGGTCCGAGCTTTTTGGTTCTGCCATAGAACTAGAAACATGGTAACTTTTACGATTTTCTGGTAGTTTAGACCATAAGTTTTGTCATTGTTAGTTAAACCAATTTGAAATGTGTTTTGAGAAATTAAATCAATTATTAGATTACTGAAACTAATTTCACTCTGAAAATTTTTTTTTAAATCATAAACAGACTTATTGAAATAAAATTTTTTAAATTGAAATAAATGACATGCACTAGAAAAACTTTCAAAAATAAAGCATTAATTAAGGTTTTAAAAAACAAATATACTATTTTAAAGTTCTATGACCGCACATTTAGTTTTTATTTATATTTTTAGTAAAATGTATTTTCTTATAGGTGACAAAGCCTGGTGGTGTACTAATGTTAATAGGACTTAAAGCCCTTGAAATTAAAATCCCCATCATTGAAGCAACTATTCGAGAAGTTGATATTCGTGGAATCTTTCGCTACGTCAACTGTTATCCCACTGCCTTGGAACTAGTTTCTAGTGGTGCTGTAAATTTGAAACCTCTAATAACGCATCATTTTACACTTGAAGAAAGCATCAAAGCATTTGAAACATCACATACAGGTGCTGGAGGTGCCTTAAAAGTCATGATTCATTGTGGAAAATAAATGAATTTACAATTTTGCTTAAAAAGAGTGTTAAATCATAAATGAGCTTAATCATATTAAAATCAGTTTCATAAGTATTATTTCTGTGGTGCAAACTGTAATGTATTTCTCTCGTTGTTAATTATTACTTAATAAAATACTTTTTGAATGATATTTTCAATTATTGTCCTTTATTTGCACATTTAAGCATGCATATATAAGTATTGAATTTCAAGCATTATTTATAAAATTTTATTTGAAACTTGCGGACATTGATTAGTTACAGCCGTAAGCAGTTTAAGGTATTACAAATCACCATTTAATTAATTACAAAAATGCCGCTTTAAATGTTGCCTTAAAGTGCTTATTGTCTGCGTAATTAAACTTATGTTTGCTGTCACTAATATAAAAATGATTATTTTCATTCGGCGAAGCAAAACTGTCAACAAAAACTTGCAACTCTACTGATGATCGATTGCAATTTCCAGTTTTTAGATTCAAAATGCTAAATGTAATTTTAAAAGAAATGAAGAGAGTCTTGAATCTTTGGTAATATTTTGTAATACATTTTGAGATACGAATTTTTAATAGGAACTATGTTGTCCCAGGATTATTTTAAATAAATTTTTGTAGCATTTTTAAATTTATATTTCTTTAAATTTTGCTTAAATTTAATCAACATTTGAAATTAAACTTAGTTGCATTTAATAATTTCCTTTAAAAAAGTGAAAACACTTTTCTTTAGAAAAGGATATATCGACTATTTTAAATAATAGTTATTCATGAATAGTTATTAAATAAATAAATATTTAAGTTCACAGTATTCAAGGAAATGTATTAAAGATTTGAGAACGTTTAATCAGACTAACATTGCTATTTGATGTTCAAATTTTTATAAATTTTTTCTGCAAAAGATGAAAATTTAATCGGTATTTGTAAGAATTAGAACAATTCAGTTCTACATGGATAAAAAAATTATGGTGCAATTACGGTAACGTAAAGACATTTTTAGTAAAAAAAAGTTATAAAATCATTGAGTAAAGTATTTAGACCATTCATTTGGTAGTTTTTCTGTTCACATGGTAAAGGTTTTATCCTGAAATACTGTTTTTCAAAATTTTATTTCTCATTGTCACTCATTCAGTCAAGATACGAAACGGAAAAGTAAATTTAAGCGTATAAATAGGTTTTATGTCATGCTCTATAATATCATGATAAAATATCCAAATTTTACCACATTTACTAAGTTTGAACACATATTCTAAAGCAATATATTTTTTTTTTTAATTTCAACAAAAACATTACCAAAGCATTTCAATAAAAATTATCATGCATTTTCGCTTTCCCTCAAGAAACATGACACATTTGACCATATTCTCGTTAAGACTATACTTTTTTTTAATCAGTAAGGCGTATAACATATTTCGAGAGAATGAAGTTTTTAAAGTTAAGTTCATTGTAAGAATACATTGATTTGCATCTGATTTTTTTTTTTTAAATTTTTAAACATTCTGATATTTAACTTCTGGTTCATTATCTGTGCTAACCTGTTTGATTAACAATAACAAATAAATAAAAAAAATGTTCTTCCAGTTTGCAAGTTGAAATTAATTAATACAAAAAGTATACTTTAATTTTACTTATATTTGTAAAATCTTCATATATATATATATATATATATATATGCTTTGAAAGTTTCATGTTTTTCAACTTTGTGTGCTTGTAGAATATATTAATTTGCACTTAAATACAAACGTTTATATATCAAATTGAAGGTAATTTAATGTAGAATTTAATAATAAATACAGTATTACAATATCTGTATTACAAAAAAAAAATTATGCAACTATAAGTAAGATCCATCTTAGATTTGCATTTTTTTAAAGTGATACTTACACAATCAATA